GGGGGAGAATATCCTTGGAAGGGGCCAGAGCAGCCCCTCCTGATCTCAGCACACCACCAGGTCTCCAGGTAGGACATTTCACTGGTAATAGAGGGTTCGCTTGTAGGACTACTGCTTTCTTGGCAAATACACAAGAAGTTGAACTGCGGCCTTGCCCAAGCAAAGGCAAAACCTGTCTACGGCTAATGCTGAAAAGGAAGAAACTTTTGCTGGCAGCGGGGGACACACCAGCTCTCACATAGACAAAGTTTGGGGTCTCCACACCTTTCTGAAGGATCTCCAGCTTCTCTAAGCACTGTGGTGACATCTCAGAGCCGCTGGCGTGTCTTACATCTGCTGCAGATTTGACAGAGGGGTAGTGACTCCTGCCCCATGGCAGGAGCAAAGGAGGAAGAAAACCTCAGCTATGATTCACACACAAAACCAAGATGATGTAACCAAAGGAGTTTATTTGAAAAACCCTTGGAGACAAGTTCTGGCCCCAGTCAGGGTGAGGAATTGGGGACCAGGAAACGACTGCAAAGTGCAGTTTGTCTTCACCGACTCAAAGCAACTTCTGAAACAAAATATGACAGTAGTGCATCCTCGGGCCTTTGAAGAACAAGAGCTTGGGCTGCCATCATGTTCTCCTAGACCTCCCACCACCTCTAGGGGATTAACAGTACATTCAGAGCATTAACCAAGCAGGCACATTGACAGTGGGCAGCCCGAGGCAAGAGCCAGAGGTCCCCAAAGCTGGAAAGCTGGTACCTGCTGGTGGCACCAACTCCCCAGCACGTCGGGTTGAGCTGCTTGGGTCAGTGGGGCTAACCAGAGCTCCCAGCATGTTTCTGTGTTCACACAGAACACCCTCAACATCTAGACTGAATCTTCATAGAATGTCTTTGCCATGGCGTGTGCCACTTTCTGCACCTTCTTCTCCTTGGCATCCGGGCCCATGTTGCTGCGGGCTAGTTTAATCCAATACTGCTCCGTCCTGGACTGATAGTCTGCTTGTTTCTCGCCAGGCTGAACAGATGGGTGCTGCTCTTCTCCTAGTGCACAACGGAAGGGAGACAGAAAGAGAGGTCACAACCAACTAATGAAAGCAAGCTGCTCTCCCATGTGTCAGCCCAGCCACGACCACACTTGAGCTGATGTGTTTAACAGCTTAAAAACCTGTTAGTGACCAAGGAAACTTCTCCTGTGCCCTAAGGAGTGTGTACTATCCCACTGCTGAACAAAACCTCAGCTGGCTGCCATCTAGTTGTTTCTAAAATAGAAAGGAAAAAATAACTAAAAACCGTCCCTGAATCCAGGAAAGTGTCTCTCATCCTGTCTATGAGGAGGTCGCACATTGTTGTGACAGTCACCCTGAGTCCTGCCATGCTGCAGCCCTGCATGGGAAGCAGGGCTTTAATCACGGGCACAGGCAAATTTTTGCTCATAAATAGGGTGCATTTGGGTGAATGTGGGGAAGGTGCTTAAAGCATCTGCCCAGGATTCTTCACCTACACGTGATAAAGGATAAATTCCTCTTTAGCATGAGGCTTGTCATAGACTGATGTTAATAAAAATACTACCATGCTATCCAAAATGTGCTGCCTTTGTATCCTGAAAAATCCCAGCGAGTTCAAGACACGATTAAAGCAAGCTGGCCTATCCCAAATACTGAAATCTTGTTAAATTCAAAGGAAAACCAACGAAGCCTTCCAGGCTGACAGCCATATTAGCAGGTATTGTACCAAAAAACACTTTTCATATTAATCATTACCTTCCTCATCTTCACTCTCGTCTTCAGAGCTTTCTTCATCCTCTTCCCCTCCTTCTGCACCTTCCACATCATCCTCTTCATCTGATTCTGACTCCTCCAGCCATTCTTGGGCTTCTGTGATGAGAAAAACAGATAAAAGAAATAAATAACAAACTGTTTCCCACTCCTACACCCAAAACTGTCATGCAGAGCTTTTCTCCCTCATGAAACTCCTGGTTTCTTGCACCATGGATTCAAAATGTTACACAGCTTTAAACAGCCTGAATTTCCCCATCTGTGGCAAAGGAATGGCCAAGGTTCACTCCCCTTTGGGCACAGTGACGGTAAGTGACTGATCTGTAGGTTCAAATTCAGAAGGAATGAAAACAAGTCCAGG